TTTTTTTTTTTTTTTTTCTATTTACCACCCTTATTAAAATATAATGCATAGAAACTAATGTGTTATTCCATACTTGAACAAAAAACGAAACAAAGAAACAATTAAGAGAAGTATTTTTAATGGAACTTAATTATATATAATTCAGTTAGTCAAGCTTAGAAAGGGCTATGTGCAGCAGCATACTCTTAGCATTAACCAAAGAATCAAATTTTGCCAAACGAATTGCAAGTTTCATGAAGTTGAATTCTGATAATGACCCTTCAGCAGCATACTCTGTGATAGGAAGAAAAATTAAGTATTTTGAAGTTTAAATTCTTCAAAACACTGTACCATTGACATTTTCATCATCTTACAAACAACGAACAGAAGAGATTTTAAATTCTTCGCTAAATCCAGGTATGGTGCATAGTCCAGAGTCTTCAAATATCAAAATTTCAAATTTGAGGGGAACTGTGCAGTCCCATATAATGTTTTTCCAAGTAGCAATTGCAAACATCACACCGAACTCAATTCATTTACAAACAAAGAATAGAAGATATTCACTGAGAACAACAACTATTCCAATAGTTATGTTATCCCAAGGAAAAACATATTGTACCTCCAACTATCCCAACAGTTATCCTAAGTAAAAAAAAAAGCATATTGTAACTTTGATTGATGTATCCTGAAGGTTACCAGAGCCTCCAGCTGCATTTAAATTCTGAATTTGGTTGGAAGCTTCAAGGTTTTGTGGAATGCCACTCTCATTAGTGTGATTTGTTGTAGTATTATCACCTTCTCCAGAAGAACCATGATGAACTTCAGTATTTCGACTTGCTCCAGTCACTTCAACTCCAACAGATGGCACATTTGATTGGTTAAGATGTTCTTTGACTCCAATACGAGCTGCTTTGAGCTATCCTTGGCAACTTGGTTAAGCATGCTTTGGAGAGAAGCTTTTGAAATAATTCTTGGTTTATGAATTCCTGGCGCCATTTGTAGAAATCTACATAAGACAACAAAAATATTTTCACTGCAAAACCAATTTCGAAGAGCTAAGAAACACATAATCATTTTTATAAAAATGCATACTTGTTTAAAAAAGAACACATATATTTAAATTACTCATTCCAATAGTGATTATTGGGCAACTAAAACAAAACAAAAGTCACACCGGTCAAAGAAAATCCGTCTTACTGCCAGAAAGCGCCGGCAATGGTGTCCTCAAGGGAGGAACTATGGCAGGAGTGGACTGGATCTCGGTCTGAGAGACGGCATGAACGAAGTCGGTCCCCTCAGTCTGATTTGGCTCACTGGTAGGTACAACACCCTAAAAGAGGGACTGCAAAGCAAGAGATTTAGCTTTTCGGTTTGCTTGACCCCTTTGACTTACTGGCCTTGTTCGTCTTCTTGGTTGTTGCCTTGGAAGAATTACCCAACAAACGAAGCGAAGCTTCTATGATTCACTAATATATATATATATATATATATATATATATATATATATATATATATTATAGTTCTTAGGATTCACTAAACTCTAGTCTACCATCAGCTATTAAGAAAATAACACATGTAGAATTAATAATAAATAAAAAATTACACCTTCAGTTGACTTCTATTCATGAAAGATGAAGAAACAATATGTAAAACACAAATTTAGGTTGAAAAGATGAAGAAACTTCATCACCAGGAGATAGAATCATAATATGGAAAAGAAAAATATGGAGTCAGAATATGAAACACAAATTCTACACCTTCAGCTATTATTATTATACGAAGACAAATTCATAATATGAAAAAAAAAAAAAAAAAAAACGTAATTTGAAACACAAATAGGTACACCTTCTATTATGCTTATACAAAGACATAACCTGAACAAAGGTGAGCCAATATAAAGCTGTAAAAACACAAATTTTATACTTCATCGATTAAGAAACTTTACCAGGAAAAGATCGTAGGGATGCGTGGTTTGCAACTATTATTTTTTATGTAGTGCTAAATAAAATGTGCATATATATATTTGCTGAGATAAAAAAGGGAGAGATTGACGGAGGTACGGATCATTAAACTCTTTGTTTCTCTACCCTAATTAGAAAAAAAAAAATTTCTAATTAAGCTTGAATTTGAGCGCCAAATAAATTTAATCCCGCTAATTGTTTTGCTAAATAAAAATTATAATTTTCTTTTTAATTTTTCAATTTCTATTGTATGCAACCGTTACCTGGTGCGCGATCACCATGGACGTGATGAGGTCTTTGGCGAGCCTCTACACCACCTTGACCGACTACTGGACCTCCATCGAGAAGTGGCTGTCCTCGACCACAACACCTGCTCCGCCACACTACAGATTCGGCCGTCCGCTCACACCACCCACAACCTCACTCTCCACCGACTAGTCGACCTCCAGATAACGTTCGATCTCCGCCTCCGTCCTCGCCTTTGCCGATGATTTCGAGAACCAAGTTGCATACGACATCAATGGTGCAAGATTGAATCCTTTCCCCTCGTGAAATTGATTCAGATTTTAGGTTGAGATTGAGAGATGAGATCGACATTAAAACGATTCCCTCACGAGCGTGGTGCAAGATTGATTCAGTTTCAGGTTTTAGGTTGAGGGTGAAAGATGAAGGGGGTTGTATTCAATTAAGATTTTTAGTGACTTTTTAAGACTTCCAAAGTTTTGGGGTATTCAATTTAAACTTTTTGAGACTCTCCAAAAGTTTATATGTATTCAATTAAAACTTATTAAGACTTTTAATAA